ATCAAAATTTCTAATATATTTCCAGTCCTCTTCTTCCAAGCTCTTTATTCCCGCCACATTCCAAAATAACATTTTTACTGTTTTCCTTCCCTTCACCTCTTCTCTCCTCTCTCCTCTCCCCCCTTTAATTCCGAAACCCCACCCTTCCTTTCTTTGTCATTCTCTCCTCTCTCTCGTTCCACCTCCACTCTTCCTCCCCTGCTCTTAGCCCATTGTGCCATATTTTTACTTCCTTACCCTTATTTTTCAATTCCCTTGCTTTTCTTCTTACCTCCTCTCTTATTTTCCTTTGTTTCCACGTCCAGTCGTGATCTATATAAATTTTTTTCTCCCCTAATTTACTTTTTTTCTTCATTATTCCCTCCTTTTGCTCCCATGAGGCACACTTTATTTGCCACATCCTCTTCCTTCTATACTCCATCCCTTCCTGTCTCTGATTTGTTTCTGATCGTCCTATGCTCCTTAGGCTTATTATTTCCCCCTTTATTCCCATTCTGTCCTTTAACCATTCCTCTGCGTCTCCTTTTTTATTCCATTTTAGTTCTCTCTCCAGATCTGTAACAATTATGTTATTTACCCTATTTTCTCTATCCATCCTCTCCTTCATGTAATCTATTTCTTCCCTATTATCTACTCCTTTTACTTCTACCCTTGTCTCTCTTCCTTCTATGTATTTTTTCATCTTATTCATCTCTTCTTCCCATTCTTTAATTCTTTCTTCCCACTTCTCTTGTCTTCTATTTTCTTCTCTTTTCTCTTTTTTCCTTTCCTCTCTATCTTTCTCTAATTCTTCTCTAAGTTTTTCCAAACCTCTCTCCCATTTTGCCTCTCTTTTTTTCTCCGCCTCTTCCATTCGTCTCATCATTTCCTCTCTCTCCCTCTTCCCCTCTCTTCTCAACTCTCTCATTTCTGCTAGTACTCTTTCAAATACATTGTCTTCTCCTTTACTCTCCCCCACCCCTATCAATGTTCTGTCCATTTCATTCCCTTCGTCCCCCTCTGTTTCACTCCCCTCGCTTTCACTTTTGTACCTTTTCGCCTGTCTCACTTCTTCCTTGTTTCCCCCTCTCATGCCCTCTTCGCTCTCTCTACCTCTCACCCCCTTTGCCTTCCTCTTATCCCCGTTACCGTCTCTCTCTCTCGCTGTTCCTGGTGTTGTAAACATCTCGTTCCTGTTTCCTATTCCTATTCCCCGTCTTGCTCCCGCCTTAACTTTCTCTCTTATTCCCTCTAACTTCGCCTTTATGCCCCTCTCCTACGCTCCTCTTTTCCCGCCTTCTGATTTATCCACCCTAACCTATCCTTTCTCTCTTTATTTCTTTTTCACCTTTCTTCCTTCACCCTTTATCTCGTTCACTTTTTCTCTTCTCCGAACGTCCTTCCACTCCTCCTGCACTTTTTCTCCACTTTTCTCTTCACTTCCTGCTCTCCTTCTCTCCAGAATCGGCCTATATTCAGCACTCACACAAGACACGTCTACTCTTGTCCAAGTCACAATATAACCTCTCTTATACATCTTTATAATTATCGCAATTCAATAAAACAACGTCGGCCTAAGATCGGGAAAACGTCTTAGAGCACAACGAGTATGGACACCGCCATTTTGGTCTCTTGCGCTGCCACCGTTACACTCATTGCTAACACTTATTTGATAAATCGACGATCTCTCGTGAGAATTCTCTCTGTTACCGTAACTCCGTAACAGAAAGATGAAGCTGTTTACGTATAAAAAGAACGCGAGTGCAGATCAGCCAATCTGTATGACAAAGCGGATCATTTCTTGTCGTCTCACCTACGAAACACTACTGCGCTCGATAAGCTCTCGCTAGAATAGTCAAGCGGAGCTCAGGTGTGCCTATCGTCCTCCATCTGGTAGCTCCTAGAACTTTTTTTTCTTTGTTTTTGTTTATATCAGGATAGTATCTTATTGTCCAGTTAGTAAAAACGATTTGCTCGTTACAGAATTGGAAGTCGATTGACGCGATCAGACGTCCTCTCTTTCGCCGCACACACACATGCATTTAACGATTGATAGCCGGTTGATGCTGCCCTCAATATGCACGATTAGCAATGATTCTCGTTATAACATACATGTAGGGAGTTTGAGGCCATGTGCATACATGTGTTGCATTGCAATGATAATTTTACTAATATAAAAATGCGCTGATATAACACTTCAAGAATTGAGCACCGCTATCACTTTTTAAGCAGCACGCACAGGCTGGCCCCTATCCTCTCTCACGCTCGTCGTCCTGTGATCAATTGTCTATAACTAGCTGCCCATAGGCTGAAATTCAATCGTAATTGTCTTAATACTTAATTCTCAACAACAACAACAAAAATTAATTGTGCCATCTTATTTAATTTTTCATTTTTGAAAACGAATACAATGGTACCAAACTTCTCATATGTTCCAGAATATACATACCTGAATATAGACACGTATGTAATAACTATGAAATAATTATATTGAAAATAATAGAGGTTTACAAAATAAAAAAAGTTAATCCGTATTTGACCAGACCATATAGCTTTTATGTATTTCTATGCGCTGAACACGAATCCAAGGTCTGCTGTTGATCTCCATCACGTCAGGTTCAAGGTTATTTGAAGGTCAAATATGTTTAATACAACGGAATTTAAAATTTGACTACGGATTCGGAAAGAGCGAGAAATTTTATGTTCAAATACTCTACTAAATAAGTTTTCTCCAACATGACTTTTGAAGGGCACCTGGAGCTCAAACAGACGACAGATAGACCAAATTTGCTTTCGATTCATATGAACTTGTTTTTGAGACGTTCCAAGGACTTCTATCGTATACTATCATGTATCTTTGTATCCTGAATACAAACCTGGAATCCATTTGACCTCATCGGTTTCGGATCAAGGTCATTTAAGGTTAATTCGTTTATTTTGCAAAAAAAATCATATCTAACCCTAATCTTCGAATCCTGATTGCTTGAACCCCCTAACCCTCTAGTGCTGTAACTCTGCAAGACTATAATCCTCGATCCTCAACCTCGATCTCGATATCTTAATTTCTTCAATCCCCGAGCCCGGTAACCTGTAACTGTACAACCCCCGACCTTCACAACTTGATTTTCTCAACTCCTATGCGATGAACTTCGATCTATATTATGAAAGGCTTGTGAGCGTACAGAGGCGAGGGCCTTGACGATAGCTAGTGCATACCGGACGATCTCGAGGAATTCTATTCTGATTGTCGCTGGCTGGAGTTGGATATCTGATGCACTAGCGGTTCTGTTCAACAGTCCTTTTCAGGATAGTTGGGCATCCAGTGCAGCAGCGGTTCCGTCCAACAGTCCTTTTCAGGATAGTTGGGTATCCCGTGTAGCAGTGGTTCTGTCTAACAGTCCTTTTCAGGATACTTGGGCATCCAGTGCAGCAACGATTTCTCCAGTGCTTATTCAGTTATTTTGTATACGATAGAACTTGGTTTTAGATCTGCAAAAATGGATAAATATAATATAATATAATGGCAAATATAATATCAATAAAAACTTAATTTCTTTCTTTAAAAAACTTCGAAAGACTTATACCGAGTGTTTTAAAACCACTTATATGGATTTAAACCAACCCTGGGTTCCGAAACTCTGTCGAGTTTGTGATTCGCGTTTAAGACGTTGGAAGCATGGGGAGTGACAAATGATTTTCTTATCGCCTATGATTTGGCGTGCACCTTGAGATCATGATAGTGATTGCTATTTTTTTATAAACGCGAAGTTTGGATTTAATTCGAGAGACAGTCGATCTTTGGTTTACACAACTACTTCGGTTGTCACAAGGCCAGTCTTAGTAATCAATACCAGTCATGATGAAGATAGAGCAATGGAAATCGATATAAGTGATAAAAACATTGCAGAATCTTTGAGTGACACGGATCAAGAAAATGACAAAGAAGATAAAGAAGAAGATGACGCAGAACATGATGAAATGAATGACCGAGAAAGTTACGAAGAAGATGACGAAGAAACTGATTGTGATGTTGGTAAAACGGTTAACCATATAACCCCTTCAAAGTTTGATCAGAGTGAACTCAATGAGTTGGTAAGAGATTTAGGGCTATCTAAAGCGCAATCAGAACTATTGGAATCACGGTTGAAAGAAAAAGGATATTTACATAAAGAAACAAAAGTAACATACTACAGAAACAGAGATAAGCCTTTTCGAAAATATTTTGTTCAAGATGGTTCTTTGGTATATTGTTATAATATAGACGGGTTGCTTAGCGAATTTGGAGTTCAACATGAACCCATATCAACAGAAGCCCTTAGAACGTCTCAAAAACAAGTTCATATGAATCAAAAGCAAATTTGGTCTACCTGTCATCTGTTTGAGCTCTAGGTGCCCTTCAAAACTCATGTTGGAAAAAAACCAATAATATGTATTTGAACGTAAAATTTCTCGCTCTTTCCGAATCGTAGTCAAATATTAAATTCTGTTGTATTAAACATATTTGACCTTCAAATAACCTTGAACCTGAAGTCATGGAGATCAACAGACCTTGGATTCGTGTTCAGCGCATCGAAATTCATAAAAACTATATAGTTTGGTTAAATAGGCATCAACATTTTTTATTTTGTAAACCTGTGTAATTAGAAAATGTCATTTCCATCGCATAAGTTTTTTGTTGTGTATCTTATTTCGCATACTCACGTCAAAACAATGTTTGAATTGATTTTATCTCACTTTTATCTTAATAACCTTTATATGAGAAATTAATAAAATCAAGATTGGGTTTAAAAATTGATCTAACCATCTAAAATATCAACTATAATATCTCATAGTCTCGAAAGAAAACAGATGTTATCCTCATCAAGTTTAAACAAAAACAATGACCCATAACGTTGACTTTTTTCTTTTCAGTTATTTCTATTATCGTGAATTCCAACAAAATTAGAATTAAATAAAAACAAATGACCCATTTAATTATTGGAAAAGTATTATTCTACATTGATCTTAATTTTTGCTTCTAGGTGAAATCTTATTCTGGTACGATATACACAACTAATTTAAAACGATCTATATCGTATATCAAAGATAACTTAATTTTAGAAAAAATATGCAAAACTAATGAATACATCTTCAATGATAAAATAAGACGACCGCAGTTGTCTCTAACAGTGGACTTAATTAGTGCTGTTACTTTGTTTGGACTGAAAGAAAGGATTATTGCCACAGAATCTTTGATCTTTTTTGGACTCCAACTAGAATCTATACGACATAATTTCAATTCTTTGATGTTAGATGATTGTAGTCGACATTCGTTAGATAAATTTTATTGTCAGATTGTTAGCTCTGCTGTGGATATACGAAAACCTATCTATACAGCAGCAGTTTCCAAAATCTTCCAATTATCAGACCTTCTGCCGTTGATAAATAATGTCGATTGGGAACAACATGATGTAGCATGTCAACATAGCTACTATATTGATTTTTTTTTAAAAGTATAATAAATTTTTCTAATTAATTTTTCACTTTTTTATAACTTTTCTATATATTTATTTGCAGGAAATATTTCAGTTCAAATTAAAACTAACAGATATTCAGCATCATGTGCCTTTCAATGCAGATACAATGATGAGTTTGTGGGACTGTGTAGCCTATGTTTCATCTCATTTACTGGTAGACGCGTAAGTTTTTATATATTTTAGTAGATTTATTGATTTTCATATAATTTACATTAAAATAATTTTTATAGATTTTCGACAATAAAAAAGTGTTCTAATGGTGGAAGAGCATTAATGCAATTAGATTTCACCCAATTCATTCTAAAATATGAATCCATTACGTCATTGAAACCAATGCCTCATCAGACTTACGTAGCATCGTATATAAAAGCGTTTTACCTACCTGAAATAAGTATAGAAATGTGGATCAAAGAACATCCGGTAAGAAATATGTCTATATTACTTATTTTGAGTTTAATGAGTTAAAAAAATAATTACGTAATAGAAAGAGAAAAGGTCTAGTCGGATAAGATTTTTGAAATAGTCTATCCGCCATCTGAAAATGTTCATTATAGTATGAAGGGCATTATATTCCTAGGAAGAAATGAGTGAAATTCTTATATTTTCATATACCAAAATCTATCTTAACAACTTTAAATAACTGCATAATTTGATTTTAGATTTTTTACAACTAATCAGTCAATTTTTAAGTTATACCAAAACTTTTATTTAATAATAGATTTTTCTTATAGGCAAAAGTTTCAACGAATGATTACCCGGTGGGCAAGTAATGGTGACAGTACTATCTAATCCAAAGATCATGTTCACAATAACATTACTCACAATAATCTGATAACTTAATTTATCAGATAAATTATGTAAAAAATAAACAAAAAATATTGCAGAAGTATCTTCGGCAGTCGATATATGACTCAAATGAGTATCAGAGCTGAATTACCTGAACTCACATTATAGAACAGGTATCCTGGAATACAAGGTTGAATTCATTACACATGAAGAAAGTAATACCCTCTCCGTTGACGTTGCGATCCCCATATCGAATCTCCACTATCAAAAATCCTACTAGCTAACGATGCTATCATGCACATTCGGCTCAAGCCCTCAGCGAAAACACGGTAGGTAATATCAACCGCTATATCAGTTGATGTCTTTTAAAACGAGTTAAGGAGTTAATGTTAAAAAACCTTACCTTAATTAAGCCAACCCACAACTCAGTGCATCTACAGCTACAACCACTAAGAACACTCGGATAATATCATTAATGTATTCACGATATCTTCACCACTATCATGTCAATGATCACTACAGTTCACGGAATCCTAGCAGCAATGGATACAACGAGCGGCCGCGCATTACATGAGGATTCTCACTCCGAACGAATAACTAGCACTTTAGCTGACAACTCATATAAAGACGATTTTTCATCCGTCCTTCGTCCATGATTGTGCCACATATATCCGAAGTCCAGTCCCCTGCAATTTGCTTGAGACTTTCGAATAGTTTAAATTTCGATTGGGACAACAGGTGGGATTCTTCACGATTATTACTTACCATACGATTTGTAATTACCTCACAACCCTTAGTCTTTCCATTACCAGACTCCGAGTCAGCTCCCCTTGCACCAAACTAAATAAAGTCATTACTAGATATTCAATCAATGCTCCCAGAGTTTGAAGTAAGTAATTTAATGGATGCATCCTTATCTTAGTTAATACTATTACTACTGTAACAAATTACACTATTTGAGATGGATTTTTATACAGTGATCCCTAAAGTACTCTGTAAATTACCAGATTTGACAAAGCATTATCAAGTTTTTCTTTTAGAGAGTGCTCTTCAAAAATGATATTACTCTCACTATTATTCCAAAGTACTATACCAAATACTCCAATTTGCTTCTTAATGGCATCTAATCTCTGGAATATAGATTCCAGTGTGCTTATATGGATAAGCGTCTTATTATTGTTAGGTAGTTCCAGAGTCCACAGTGTTTGTATTTTGCGGTAAAGGCGAAAATAAATGTCTGAACTTCAGCTCACCTTACTAGACATATGCCTGAACATCGGCAACCCATCTAGAATCGTATAGGATGACAGGCGGCGCTTGCTTAGTTGCTGCGATTGTAGCACTACGAATCGACAACATAGATGATCAGACTTCTTCTCAACATTTTTTACACATCATTTTTATTTATCTTAGAGTATTTAATATTAACCATTTTCCTTTGTTAATAGCAAGCTATTCTCTGCTCAAAATAATTTTTCGAGAAAATTTTCTTTTTCAAATAAATTAAAGCTATAGAATTCATTTGATGTAGTTTTCATTAGGAACATAAGACTTATGTGCCTATATATTAGGCGGTATAAAATCTATTAATGTTGAAGCAGTAATAAAAAATAGACGTAAAAAGGAAAAAACACCTGCAATCAACAATAATTTATTATCAACTCGGTACTTACAGGTTTCTACAAATGGCTTGGCATCCCCATTACAAAAATTTATAAGAAAAAAATCAGAGATAAATATCCAGATCGTTTCAAGGAAATCGTGGAAATATTACGGCACTTGCAAAATATATATAAATTTGTTCAAATTTCATCGCTTAACATACAAATAATTTGGCCTTTGTGTGATGGATCCAAAAAAGAAACAGAAACTTTGCTACTTGCTCTCAAGATAGATATAAGTTTAAATTTTTCCCGTATACTATTAATCGTCATGTATTCTCAGCTCGAGCTAATTCTTGAATCATAGTAGAGATGATTTTTTAAAAATTTATATTATTTTATTATATTTTATACCTAGTATTGTAAATATTCTTATTACTTATATGTTTTTGTTATCATCAAGGCTTTCAGCCTACAGTGCCATAAGTTTTGTTCATTATGGTGTCAGTTAAATAATATTTTGCGTTTTTTTTGTTTATTTTTAATACTCAATAAATTTATACAAAAACGTATGAGAAAGCCTTAATTATTTCTAATATATCACCTTATACACTTTAACACACCACCTCTCGAGCTATCGTATAAATAGATGATGTTCATAGAGGTTTATGGTATTTTCCATTGAAAATGGCACTCCTTTCTTAGGTAAGATAAGGCTTTCCTCTCCGTATTTTTCAATCATCAGTCAGCGTTTGGTCCTTGAGATGATCAGACGTGTTGAAACTATACTTTACCCAAAAAGCTATAGTATAGGAAATCAAGTGAAGTGACAGTTAAGTTTAAAATTCATTAACGGTACTTCAAAACAAAAGAAAATAATGGCCGAAATGGCTACTGAAATAAAGAATGATATATTTATTCCTAATAAAAACCAAACTGAAAACTAAAAATAATAAAAGACAGAGAAGTAGTCTAGAAGTTCAAACGCAATTTAAAAAACGAAAAGTACAATTACCAGATTACTAGCTAAGCAACACAATCAACAGGTACCAAATATTTCAAGAAAATAAAGAAAAATCATAGTGAAAAGAAAACAACAAAGCAAATAAGTTAAAAAGCAAATCCTCTCTGATCTTCGTTTACAATGTAGAGAATATCAAATTATTAGAAAATTTATTGGATACAATAGCCAAAAAATATTACACCTTAACAAAGATTTCTATCAAAATAAATATATATCCTAATATTTGATATCCTAGATATATTAAATATCCTAAAACAAAATTGAAATTCAGCGGGAAACTTCGATAAAATATTTTAGAAAGAAAAAAACACGTAAAGTTACACTTATCAGCGCAAAGAAGAAAAAGGTTTAAAAGTTGTATTAACAAGCATTCACCCATCAGTTGATATAAATGAATTAAAAATAGTCATAGAAGAACATGGATATAAAGTAATAAGTATTCATAACATAAGACATCGCATCACAAAACTATCATTGCCGCTTTTCACAGTTGTAATTGAACATGATTATAAAAGCCAGGACATTTATAAATCAACTGACTATTAAACATGGTAATGAAATTCAAGCTGGACCAAGCTACTGCTAAATTTTTTTTTTCAGTAGTGAAATAATTCAATTCTACGCCTTTTAATGTTCTAGATATAAATGTTAAAACTTCCTCTTCGCCTTCGCTGTTTAATGGAGACAGCAGCGGCTATAGTATGATAACTAGCATCAGTCATTAATATATAAGGTTTACTAGAATCAGAAAATCTTAATTAATAGTATCAATAAAAATCTTTTTTACATTTTCAAAAGCTAATTCATGCTCAGGTAACCACTGATAGCCTTTGCTTTGTTGCAATAAGTTCATCAAAGGCTACGTATTTCAGTATAATTTCTCACAAACTTTGTACAAAAATTAACAAAACCGAGAAAACTTTGCAAGCTTTTTAAATTTTATGGAGCTTTATAGTTTTGAATTATTTCTAATTTACTTTTTTGAGCTTTTATACCGTATAGAGTGATATTATGTCTTAAAAATTCAATTTCTTCTCGAATTTGTGACAGGGCTATAGCGATGCTCGCTGGCCCTGTTTGCGGCACTCTCCTCGCGTGAACGCAGCGACCGAGTATACACTATACAGGGTGCCCCATTTTAAAGGAATGGGAAAAATTTTCGACGGTTGGCGTTGTACAAAAAAATTGTTCAGACAACAGTTGTTTGGGACAATGGGGGCAACCTTCCTGCGAAATCCGATTTGACCTTGAGATTCATTTTCAAGGTCATTTGAAGGTCAAAGTCATTTTTTAAATAGGAACCCATATTTTTGATCCCAGATTCGGAAAGAGCGGAAAATTCTACGTTCAGATAACGTATTATGTGTGGGGTGCGGTTAATCCCCCCTCCCCTCGCCTAAGGTCATGTAGGGGTCAAATTTATGATTATCTTCATCTTTGCACAGGGATGATCGGGCAGGAGTAAGGTTAATTGTAATAACCCAATAACTCGATAACCCAAATAACCCAATAACCTAATAACCCGATAACCCCTATAATTCAATAACCCCAATATCCCGAAAAAATTGTAGGGTCAAACAACAGTGACCTTGAGCTTAAACTTCAGGTTGATTTTCAAAGTCGACTTCATGTATTCAAACCCTTCATGAGAAGTGTCATTTTCCATTTTGTGGGATCACACGTTATTTCTATTCTTTTTTTCTGGTGTGACTCCGGACAAGCCTACAAAGTTTCAACTAAATTGTTTAATAACACTTTTTTAGTATTGTTTATGACAATAGTGATTTGCGAACAGTCCTTCTCAGGATAGTTCAAGTGTAATTTTTTTAGTCGACTTAAAAGGAGGGAATATGCCGGATTATTCGAGAAACGAAATTGTTGATATGCTGTTGTCTCTCGGGGCATGTCACGGGCGATATCGTGCTGCGACAAAGTATTATCCGCAGCATCCGGCTGGGTAATCAATACCTTGCCTTCATTGGCTGGGTAATCGATACCTTGCCTTCACTGGCTGGGTAATCAATACCTTATTAACCTCACCCTTGCCCCGGTGGGATGAGGGGGGGGGGGAATGCTCCCCCAACATAATACTTTATCTAAACGTAGAATTTCCCGCTCTTTTCGAATCCGGGATAAAAAATGGGAGTCCTTATTCAAAATATCTCTTGGTTATTGGGTTATTGGGGTTATTGGGGTTCTCGAGTTATTGGGTATTGGAGTTATTGGGTTATTACAATTAACCTTACCCTCGCCCGATCATCCCTGTGCGTAGATGAAGAAAATCATAAATTTGACCCCTACATGACCTTAGACGGGGGGGGGGGTTAAGCGAACCTCACACATAATACGTTATCTGAACGTAGAATTTTCCGCTCTTTCTGAATCCGGGATCAAAAATATGGGTTCCTATTCAAAAAATGATTTTGACCTTCAAATGACCTTGAAAATAAATCTCAAGGTCAAATCGGATTTCGCTAAAAGGTTGCCCCCCATTGTCCCAAACAACTTTTGTCTGAACAATTTTTTTGTACAACGTCAACCGTCGAAAATTTCGGGGTGGTTCCTTTAAAATGGGACACCCTGTATAGCGACTACATACTTATGTCATTGCAGGATCTGGAGAGAGGAGTGCGACGATCAGCGAGGTCGAGCCGTGAGAGCGAGTAAGAGCGAGAAGAGAGAGTGAGAGAGAGAGAGAGCGATTTTGACTGATTTTTGACGGCGAGAGAAGTGGGAGCGCGACGGCGCAAGGCTTAGAAATTAAGAGAGAAGGACAGTTAGGCGCGAGCTCTCGAGTAATTAGGACCGCCTAGAGACAAACCATCCCGGATAGAGTTTCTGCTGCAGAGGAACTACTGCCACTGGTGCGACAGCTATATCTGCCAGGAATGAGAAGATATATTGGAAGCAGAGCGAGTTTCCGCTGCGACCATTCGTCGGCTAAACAGTAAAGACCGTGCTGCGGCCCTTCCTGCAGCCACCTCCATCGTCGCCAGGGCGCCGTTGCCAGCGGATCTCCGCTTTCGCCGGCGTCGCCTCTCGACCGACGGA